TAATGTGTGTGTTTGGACAAAATACTTCCTGTTGTTTTGAAAACAAAATGGTCCTTACTGACCAAATCACAAACCACTTCAGTTCATACAATTAAATCTTCTTCAATAACAAGTGTCATTAATACACAGTAAATATTCGATATCTAAGAGACTGTCTCACCAGTCATTAATGATCAAGGACAAAGAAGGGCAGATAGTAAAGTCAGGCATTTACTGTTCCACAAATGACCCAGGTCTGTTTTGTGATATTTATACAAAGATTGTTCACTGTGTTTGTTGTCTGAAAAGTTCAGATTTTATTATACATGTCAGTCTAGTTTACAACTTAACATTAGTTCGTAAGTCCCATTTTGTTATTATCGACTCCTACATGTGAAAGTTTCAGTTTCTTTTCTTACTTTTGTGACCAAAATTTTGAATTAATATAATGTTAGACCTATGGAAAATTACTCACAAGTCTCATTGCTCTTAATGATTCTGAAGCTTCTTGGTGATTTTCTTCATTTCTCCTTACTATGTTGTGTTGAATTCGGTGCTGGTAGCAGAATAGCAAATATTGCATTTATATTGCAAGGTAAACTGTGTGTCCTTCTGTTGGTGGAATACCTGAGATGTGTTCCTTTTTTGCAGCTCATTGATGAGCTTGAAGACAAAATGGCTCAGGGAGGCAATATTGTTGATTATCATGGTTGTGACTTCTTTCCTGAAAGGTGGTTTGACATTGTGTTTGTTCTGCGGACCAATAACACTGTCTTGTATGACAGGCTGACTCATCGGTAAGTAACGAACACATTTTGCTTTATCTTCATACACTACGAGGAAAGCTGGGCACATTTTATCATGTCATTTTGAATGTTTCCTGTTTTTAAACAGGATTTTATAAATTTTTACCATTGATAATCCAATATGGTGAATGTGCAAACTTCAGGGCTAACAACATGCTGTTACAGAGGTTATACCGGCAAGAAATTGGAAGACAATGTGCAGTGTGAGATATTTCAAACAATACTGGAAGAAGCACAGGCAGCCTACAAACCAGATATTGTGCATCAGTTGCCGAGTAACACTGCTGATGACATGGAAGAGAACCTGGACAAGATTACAGCATGGGTTGAGCAGTGGAAAATGAGGGCAAGCAGTTAGATGTTATAACTAGATTTTTGTATAAACAGGATATTCGTAGAGGTTTGCAGCAGACTGAAACAGTTGGTTTTACTGGCAGAACAATTTTGTATGTGTTCTTCATTTCGAGATTGGGCTGCATGCCATCTTGTTCTTGATCTTCACATTCTTTGCTTCTTTTCATTACAATTGAAATATATTTATCATTCCACTGACTCTGTTTCGTATATTTTATTGTTCCACCTGTACCCAGTGATTCTTCAGATACTCTGCCACATTTGTGTGCAGCTTTGCTGTCATTTCCATGCTGAGTGTTCGTGTTATTTGTAGAACATGTGTTGATCGTTTTGTCGTATCATATGAATTTTGGTTTACTGGCTCATCAATAGTGTCATTCTGTGGTACTGAATCTTAATTTAGGCCACAGCATGAGGCAGATGAGCACCGGGTATATTTGTGCTGACATCAGGTTCTACTGACGTGTTCATAATTCCTTCACCTCACTCCATGTCTTTCCTCCTGTTGCGTTCCAGGGTATTTAACTTCTGATAACATCCTGTGTTTATTCAGCCCTTTCTGCAGCAGACTTCAAAGTACAGGGTGACCCACTTTACATGGAAGCTGCCATGATAACAGCAGTGAGCAAACTACAAGGAATTGAGTCAGTCACAACGCAGAACATGTCCGTCACACGGTGGTAGGTGGATTTCAAGTTATGTGGGTCTCTCTGTAATAACCCCTTTAAACACCATTTAAATTAATTTTTATTCAGACAACCGTAACCTCCAGTCCTTTAAGTGTGACATTTTAAAGTGTAACTGTGGCGGGAGCTTTTCAGTACTCTTGTGTCAGATGAAGCAAAGTTTTAAAAGTGAATAGGCTATTCCAGTTGCTATGCAATATCACCATCTAGCAGTAAAGAACTTAAGCCACTTGTTGACCCATTCTGGCATCATTCATCCAAATGTCATCAGTTTGTAATTTTGTAATGCAAAGAAATCTTCAGGTATGAAATATTTATATTTCGCTGCTGGCAGAACACTTTTGCGCTTACCCTGAGATAGAAGTTGTATGCAGTAATAAAAATAACAGACGTGGAGAACCAATTTAATTAACATTGCCAACTTGTGCAATCCTTTTGCCTTTAATTTAATCAGTCTTGTGACTACAAGGGTTAAATTCCACTGTTCAAACATTCCTAATTTTGCGCTATGGTTACACGGCATTATTTCATAACTAGCGATTCATTCAATGCCAATCTTCTGTTTCATATCCTTGATTCTGGTTCCAATACTGGAATAGTATTTCATTTTGACAAGCACCTTCTTAGCAGCATCTATGTCTCCAGTACTGAAAGCCCTTGCAGCATCCCTGCAAAACAGAATATCAGGACAGTATATATTGCTGAACTAAGGAGGAGCCTCACTCTTAAGCTAACTCTCTCTTTTCAGAGTCCAACTGAACTTATAGGCTGTGGGACATTTCAAACTTACTGTCTGTGCAAAGGTAGCTCCCCCCCCCTCCCAATCATCACTGCACTTCAAGGATGTCAGAAGTGCACATGTTAGCAGAATGATTTCTGATCATACATGTGTTACTTTGTGGTTATATTTAGTGTACTTTAATTTGCCTTCTTCAAATCCACTTTCTTCACTTTTCAAAGTTATGAATACTTCTGTTAAATAGGGAAGAAACATCATAATTTGCACTCTTCACCAAATATTATCAGCATGACATTAAACTCATACATGATTTCACCTTATGAGTTTCTCCACCGTGCTCCTGTTGGCATTATCAAGTTCCTTGACATCTTCTGGATGCTGTGCTTCAGCCAGTTCCTCATTTGCCTGCATGATCTCGGCCAAGAACTGCGGGTCACTCTGTCTGGTCTCTTCATCTAGGTTCACTCCATGCAGCTGCAGCATGTAGAGCCCTCGTGCTAGTGGATGAAGCAAGGTCGAGTATGCCTTGTTTACTAGAGCTGAGTACCGCTCTGATATGTCACGTTCTTCCTGCATTAGTACAAAGTTACATGAACTGATTCCTAATAGAACCTCAAACTTCTGTATTTCATAAAACCTTGGGGCCATCAGGCACCTGGTAGGCCAACAAAATAGGATATGAACAGTAATAACAGTTTAGAACTTACCACATTCTTTGCATTGAAGCGATCAGGATGAAGTACGTTCTGCAGTTTGTGATATTTAGTCTTGAGTTCTTTATCTTTCACTTCAAAACTCTGTTCAATGCCCAATATGTCAAAGTAATTCTTTTCATTTGGTTTCTGAAGTGTGGTGCACTGACTGCAAAATAAAGTGGAATTTTGTATTTCAGAGCCACATTTCCAGCAGTGCGGAGCACACTTGGAACAGAAATCAAGAAGCATTGTTGGGTATATTAGCGCCCTATGACATCCCTTTTTATACACACAATGCTTCTTTTGCGACTCTGGAAGCTTGCAAATAATTCGCAGTCTACTACACACTCTCGTTAGCATGTTTTAAAAGAATAGTCTGTCTGTCTGAAACACCCTAGTGCATGCATCACGTAATATACATCTACAAATTATTATGGAATTAAAATTAACGTTGCATTAGTGAAAACATGGATACTTTTTTTCTTGTCCTCTAGACTTCGTTTACGTGTGGTTGGTACATCTGATATCAAAAGTATATTTCTCAATTTGGTACTGTGATTATTATTTTTCTTTTGATTGCAGAAAAAAGGCTTTAAATCCCAACATATGCCCTGTCGTAAATAAGAAAAATTATGAAGGTCATATCTGCTTCGCTGAGCGTAAGAATACATCACAGATTATTAACCAAGATACGAACTTTTCTCATTGCCATGTCTTCAACCAATCAGCGTACGACAACACAAAGCTTACAAATGAACGAGTACTGCGAGGTTTCGCCGGTTGTCAGCCACGTCCAGTTTTGCTATACTTTTTCTTTTTGTATAAGTGATTGAATTGTGTGGTATAACGAAAATGTTCGTATTGAAATATCTTTTTCTGTATTCATTATTTTATATTTCACTTGCTTCGGAAAGTGACGTAGTAGAACTTTCAGATGACGATTTTTCGACAAGAATCTCAGAACACGAAACAGTCCTCGTTATGTTTTATGCCCCATGGTAAGTTCCCACTTTTAATTTAAAGTTCTAATGTGTAGTAATTACCAATGCTCAAAATATTAGTTTTTGACCGTAAATCTGTTATAACCTGAAATTTGCATGTTTTTTTCCTTCAGGTGTGGGCATTGTAAGAAATTGAAACCAGAATATGCAAAAGCTGCAGAACTAATCAAAGATAACGAGCCACCTGTGGTATTAGCCAAGGTAGACTGTACGGAAGCTGGAAAAGAAACATGTCAAAAATTTAGTGTTACAGGCTACCCAACTCTTAAGATATTTCGGAATGGAGATTTCTCACAAGAATATAATGGTCCTCGAGAAGCAGGTAGGTTTCAGCTTTTGCCCTTCAGAAATTCAAACCATATATAATTTTGAGAAATAGGTACTTTACTGTTTAACACATTGTTTTAATTCCTGGGTAAGGCGCTCTTTAGCCATAGGATGTTCACACAACTTAAAATACACTAAGCATTTACTCTGGCTTTCTTAGCATACACATTCATATCACCCATAGGCATCACAGACTTCATATCTTATTTGTGTTCACTAGCTGCAACTTGAAATTGACTATTAAAACTTCATATCTTATTTGTGTTCACTAGCTTCAACTTGAAATTGACTAATAAATTAGCTTGTTATTCTTCTTCCTTGGCTCTACAACCCAGTTGTGCGTCTTTGCCGCCTCCTTTTTGGTTTCTTAGTCTTTGAAGCATGCATTTGTGAGTAGTGACCAGCCCACTGCCTTTGCTCAATTTCTACTCATTCTTGATTTGTCTGCCCACTGCCTTTGCACAATTTCTACTCATTCTTGATTTGTCTTCTAGAATGATCTAGTAGTGAATCAGGAGAGACTTGGTTGAGAAATGGCTGCTGAATTTTGCTTACGAAACATCTCGTATCGTGCTCGTGAGGTTCTTTTACATGCCATAAATCTATGACATGGGACCGCCAACTTTACTTCCCCTTTGAAGGAAGTTGTGCTATGGATTTTTATCACCCTTAAAAATCAATCGGCCTCGGCCAGGTGTGAACCCGCGCACCCTTAAAAATCCATCGGCCTTGGCCAGGTGTGAACCCGCAAACATTGGGTCCAGCGGCAAGCACACTAACCATTGGTCCACCAAGGGTGACAATAAAATAACTTAAAAAGTAAAATAACCAGTCCTTTCATGCAAATTCTGGCAGGTGAAATATGTCAACAGGGCATGGCACTTGTGCATTCATGCTAGGTCATCACTTGCTGTTATTCTGTCATTAAGTGCTACATAATGAATGCATTTGTATGTCCTGCAAATTTAAGTAGTGACATGTGGCACTGTTTTTCAGTTGGCATTGTGAAGTACTTGAAGGCACAGGTGGGGCCCAGCTCCCGGGAGCTGTCTTCAGTTGCTGACTTTGAAGGTTTCACCAATAAAAATGATGTTGTAGTAGTAGGCTTCTTTGAGAAGGAAACAGATCTGAAAGGTGCTTTCTTGAAGGTTGCTGACAAATTGCGTGAGAAAGTCAATTTTGGCCATTCGACCACAAAAGCAGTGCTGGAGAAGGAAGGACACAAGTAAGTGGCGATGTTTCTTTCTTCATTACGCAGTTAGGCCAGTGATGGCTGTACTCGAAGTAACCTGCTAGTCTAGTCCTATTATAAACACTGGAAAGTAGCTGAATGTTAGAGAAAGTTGTTCAGAAGTGATATTGTGGCATCAAAAGCATATCTTGTGTGTCTTAAACACTTACTATTATTTTTCGTCCATTCTTCAAACATAGTTTTTAGTCTTGAATCAGAAGCATGTAAAACAAGTCAGGAATCATCAATTTAAAACTATGTAAGTAAGAGACGTGGGAGAGCATTTAAATATGACGTAGGAATGTGGACATAAGTCTAACTTTTATTTCAGAGATGCCATTGTACTGTTCCGACCCAAACACCTGCACAACAAGTTTGAGCCAAATTCAGTTGAATATGTTGGTGCCAACAAGAGAGAAGACATTGAGTCTTGGATCAACAAGGACTAGTATGTATAATCAGTTACCATTACCTTTATTTTACTTGTGTATCAGTTAAAGTTTCCTGTCTTATTGTTGACATCATTTTGTTAATTTCTGTTTGTGTGTTTAATAGCTGGGCTGAGTGCTGTGTAGTTTATGGTAATGACCCTCAGCGTGGTGACCTACTGATTGCAGACAAGATTGTTTATTCCGTGCAAATTGAAAAGATTAATCTTTTTCCAGTCATGGTTTGGTGGGCCACAGGCAGAGAGACAATGTCAATGACTTCAGACCTCCCTACTTTGTTGCATACTACAGTGTAGACTATGTAAAGAATGCCAAAGGAAGCAATTACTGGCGAAACCGCGTCCTTAAGGTGGCCAAAAACTTTGCTGACAGCTTCACATTTGCCATTAGTGCAAAAGATGATTTCCAACATGAGCTGAATGAATATGGATATGACTATGTGAAGGGAGACAAGCCAGTTGTGTTTGCACGAGATGCAAAGCACCAGAAGTATGTGATGAAGGATGAGTTCTCGGTGGAGGCACTTGAGCAGTTTGTTAAGGACGTGCAGGGAGGAAAGCTGGAACCGTACCTCAAGTCCGAGCCCATCCCGGAGGACAACAGTGGACCTGTCACAGTCGCCGTGGCCAAGAACTTTCACGAAGTCGTGACCAATAACGGAAAAGATACGTTAATTGAGTTTTATGCACCCTGGTGTGGTCACTGCAAGAAACTTGCCCCCATATTTGATGAGCTTGGAGAAAAGGTTTGTATTGACCTGTTTCGGATTAACTCTTGAGCCAGTAGTGCCAATGGCCTGCCTTTGAAAAATCAAATTGGTAACATTTAACTTTGATTCATCGAATATTGCAGGTTCCAGGTTCATATCTTGGCTCGTTTAATGAATACCCACGTTCAGTGAAGCTTTTGTGGTTTCTTATATTTCCCTGCAGAAATTCTGAGATATTACCTTGAAATAAGCCCAGAAATGCTTCCTTCCCCATTCTTTCCAGTTGAGCCACATTCATGTTCTTGATGCTGAATTGTTTTCCAAGCTGTGTTTGATGGAACCTTCATGATAGCCCGTCTAAAATACTGAAATGGTCTGTCCCAAACTGTGTATTTGGAAAGTATAATACATTTCAGCCAAGATCAGATGCAATTTAAATTGTATTTAGATGAAGCATTTTCTCCTTCAGATCTCCAAAATTTCATCAGCAATTTTTGTTTGGTTGTCTGTTTGTGCAGCATCACTTGTAATATTAGGTAAATTTCCAAAGAAGGGACACAAAAATGTAAATTATTTCTGTAAACCAGAAAATTTTCAGCCATTTTAACAGCTTCAGCTGAATTGTTTACTTTGTATGCAGTTGAAGAATGAAGATGTTGCAATTGTCAAGATGGATGCCACCAACAATGATGTGTCTGGTGTGTATGAGGTTCAAGGATACCCAACTCTTTATTGGGCTCCAAAGAATGGTAAAGATTCTCCAGTTCGATATGAGGTGAGTGCCATTTCATTCACATGATGAAATTAAAGTCAGTGGTGCTGAGATTTTCCGAAAGTCCATGCAGTTGGGTGATGAGATGTTATTTGACTGCTGCAACTTTGATATTTCTTGGTTCTTCAGCCCACCTTCTGATATACTTGATGCAAATAACCTTTGCAGCTGATACACCAACATTAAATATCTTAATAAAAGAGTCAGGTTTTTGAAATAATAAAGCTGATGTCATCATGGTATTGAACCTTTGGATTCCGTACGAGGTAGGAAATTTGTTGACTATTTTAATTCCGTACGAGGTAGGAAATTTGTTGACCATTTTAATGACTGTAAGCTTCTCAAGGACTCTGCTGCATGGTGGGGCCTGCTGGAAGAAGCAAGGAAACTTGGGGGAGGGGGAGCTGCAACTGGGAGAAGTTAAGAGTTAATTTTAATCTGGTGTCTCTGCGGGTAATGTATTCATTATGTAGCAATTGTGCATTGTTCCTTCTAATCAAAAAAATACTATACATTTCCCTTACCGCCTGTGGACTTTCTACATTTTTTTGTGAACTTCACTAAGTTCACTGTCTTCCCTTCTTATGTCTGGTCTGTTCCTCTTCTGTTTTCCATTTTACCTTGTTTTGGTCTCTGTTCATTTGCATAACATGATCAAATCAGTCCACTCGTCATTTCTGTAATATTTCCTGCACTGCATCATTTCTTATTCTATCCCCTGATTATTTCAGGCACATTTCTGAGTAAAGTTAATTCCCACATGATATAAACGGGGTAAAGTTAATTCCCACATGATATAAACACTTGGTCACAATTCCTTCTTGTTGGAAGTTGTTTTTAGTTAGCATGTCTTTCTACAGGGTGGCCGTGAGTTGGACGAATTCATTAAATACATCGCAACGCATGCTACAAATGAATTGAAGGGCTGGGATCGCAAAGGAAAACCCAAGAAGGAAGAGTTGTAGGTGAGGACAGTGAAGTGTTACATAGACTGTTTCTTCCATAAAGCAGTACTGCATACAGTATTGCCAACACATCATTATTATATTTGCTTTAAAATTATTTTTGGTTCATAGAAGTGAAGTCAGAGGACTCTACATGCTGAATATTGAAGACTGACCAACATTCATGTCCATTCCAGTGGATGCAGTAACCTTATCTGTCCTGTGAAACATCTATAGATGAACAAACTGCCATGAATATTATGCAGTTGTGATTATTGTGTTGTTTACTTTAATATAGTGTTATGGTCAAGAATTTTTGTAAGAAATATTGTGCAGCAAAGTGTACATTTTTTCCCCCCATCACTGAGTCAAATAAAAAGAATTATTGATACTTAATGTGAAATTTTTGTCTGATGAAGAACTCTAGGGTCCCTTGAAAAGTCTTCAAGACTCTTTTCCAATTATGCAGTTTTTTATAAACATGTGAAGGAAGAGATGGTTTTGTCAAGGGGGGGGGGGGGGGGGGGGCTGAAATGTACACGGGGAAACCTCAGAGGAGTGCATTAGTTCGTAAATCTTGGCAAAGATGGGAGGACAATACTGGAACAAGAATTAGAGTTTTCAAGTTAGAAACTGGTTAAGGATATAAAATGTATCTTCATTAAGGTCTGCAGCTTCTATTTGAAGCACTGATCAATATTGTTGAACACTTAATGAATACAAAGAAAATAATTTGTTTTGAGTTGTGCCCAGTGTTATTGCATAAGCTGTGCCGAAAGTGGCTTCACACCATTTGTTGGCAATTTCCATCATGTTCAGCTTTTGTAAACTGTGTGTCAACTTACACATGGTCCAGCTGGCTGCATCACACAAGTTTATTACTAAATTGGTAATTTTGTAGTTAGAAGTACAGCTGGTACCCCAGTATGTAGAGGTTGTTTGGCTCATTTATCAACGAAAAAGTGACATAGAAAAAGACATGCGTGGGTGGGGTGTAGATAAAGGAGAATACTCTATATGAAATGCTTCATGTGTTTATTATGCATAGAACATGTTAGTTATGCTATGTCTGATTTTCTTGCACTTTTGACTCGGTGAAAAATATGAACTGGTGTATTATAAAGATGCCCTTCAGAGATGTCAGGTATACACTTCTGTCTGTGTATTTTGAAATTTCTTAAACATCCAGTTATAGAAAATTAGAGCATGTTTCCAATTTACAACATCATAAATTTATTTTAAACTTAAGATTAAACTTTGTTATTCTAAGCTAGAATGGGATTTAGGGACAACTTTTTCTGTTTCAAATGTCAAGGATGTAAAACTTGGCAAATTCATGTTAGGTTATGTTGTGTTGAAGGAATAACAGCAATTACTATTTATTTACCTCAGTACAAATGAACAATGGAACAGAGCAAGGCAAAATGTGTTCGTTATTGGCAGTTGCTGTGAGAATTGGCCTTAGGTACAACAGTAAATGTTTGTAAATAAAGCCATTGCAGATTTCCGACAATTGCCTTTTCACTATTCGTGGATATTTTCAATCATGACGTTGCTGTCAGTGTCGTTAATTAATTCACAAATGAAATAGGCGTTTAGTTTGATTTAATTGGACACAATCGACAAATGTTTATTTGGCTTATGAAGAAGAATACAACTTAAAACGGAGCCCAGCAAATAATTATTGAAGAATATTTATTGCTGGTAATTATTTTCATGAACATATAAAGTTCCTCTATAAGACATTTAAATGTAGTTTTTACCTTGAACGTTCCTAAATAATTAGAATTTTTATGTAACTCATTCACGTCAGTTGCTGTTATTGACCTTGGACATCATTACGACTTACGTAGTAATTGATACCTATCTCTTTGGCGCAGTTTGTTGGGCATAAACATAGCTGTTATTCATCTACGTGCGCGTGTCGCTCGTGATCACAGTTGCACACTGGCAGAGTTCGTGTGTATGTCATGAGCCTATGATGGCGTTGAAATTATAGGAAGGGAAGCAATTGGGAAGTATATTCTTACATTCTGTAAGAAGTAAGAAAAGGAGGGTGATTGGAGGACCCTCCAGGCTCCATTTCGGTGGATATTTATGTGCTTGAGCATCGGAGACCAAGACTTAAATAACCAAAATGACTCGTAAGTAAATCGACTTTGGCAAAAAATAGAGGAAACACCAGGAGAAAACTCTTCCCCATGTCATGATTGTTTTAGGGATTTGACACTTCATTTCATATTTATAGATTATGGTTCTTGCTATTTTATGGAATAAATGTAATGAATTTGAGAATAACCAGCTGTTGTAATGAATTTAGGTTTTATACACCCACCATAATTTGGTCCCAAAGTATATTGCAGACAGTTGCTTAAAGGGAGGACTGTGGGGAATAACGTTTAGAATTCCGCCGGAGGAGTTAGTGTGATAAGTATGTTCCTGTATACCGGAGTTAGAAAAATTATTTTCAAGTATTTCTGTGGAAGTCGTTAAATGAGTGAAAGTGAATATTTTTCCAAGGTCTGTGTAGATTGTTTGTGCTGTTAAAACAGATTCGTGAGAGAAAATAACTTTCTATATCTCGGGTGTAAGACAAGTTAGGTGAAATCAAGGTGAACGCATAATAATAGCTGTTTACTACTTGGAAACGCTCTAGAATGTTCCATTTCGTAGGTTATGGTTGGCTCTTTACAGAGTTCATTGTCATGAAGAAGAGGTAATTTATTTTCAACAGAAATGGAACTTCTCAAATATAATTTTAGGTATTTTAAAAAGTCCAGTATTTTGTATTCCATGACTAGAATCAGAAATCATTGTTACAAATTCAGTCAGCAGAGGTACAAGAACAGACAGTTTGTGGAATGTAATTGCTAATTTGATATTTTGTTTTTGTCATAACGTACTGGTTGACTGCAATGGTGGCCAGTTTATTTCATTACTTATAGTTGCTGGAAGTTAAGGACATCTGTAAATTGTCAAATTAATATTTCTGAAACATTATTTTATGTTTTGATATATACGTATGTGAGGTTTCACCCTGAAAGTTCTACTTCCTAATTTTTTTACAGGTATCTTCTGCCTATATTTATATATAAATAAATAAATACTGTGCAGTGTTTATATTAATTTCCATCTTTGCTGTACTGTGTAATAGACCATGCCTTTTCTTTGCAAATCAGGATGTGGTATTTTTACACTATTTGTGGCGTAGTTGGCATTTACAGTTTTGTGTGGAGTGTGGAACATTTTAATGTTGCACAGCTTATGCTGAAAACCATGTACTGCCATGAGTGTTGCCACATGTCTCAGTTTATAAATTGCTTCCATGTTTTCATGGTTAATTATTGCTTGTGTGTCACAAAATTATTCCTTCTCATATTTACATATGAGATGTGCCTTGGTTGTGAAGCTCTGTAATGTTTTTCCTTCTCAGTGAACTTCTTTTATCAGTGAGAGAAATGTCAAGTTTATTCTCATGAAAAATGAACTGCTTACAGCCTTTTCTATGCACCAATCCATTTACCATGCTTAACCTACTTAAATTTAGTGTATAAAAGATATTTATATGAACTGATCTGATAGTGTCAGGTTGCAGTGAATATAGATGGTGTGGAAAAAGGTTAATCTTTATCTTTGCAAAAATTCAGGAGAAAAAGTCTTGTGCCCTTCAGGATGTCAATGCAAGATTTTATATAGTGTGAACACAGAATTTGCAGGATTTTGCATACGTTGCAGTCGCCAGGCCAGACCTTATGCTGCCAGACGTGCGCCTCTTTGCTTCATCGAAGGCTGTACTTCGCAATGTTGATACAACCGCATTATCAGAATGTCAAAGTACTTTCAGTGTGTTTTGTTTGAGATATACTTTATTGTTGTAAGAGTAAATTGATAAAGAAGCCAATCAGTTTGATGTATAGATTTTTATTTGAGAGGTACCAGGTTTAATTATCATCGGGGCTGCTATCATGAGAGTGGTTTCTCCTTCATCCATGTCTATGGTCAGATATGAGTGTGGTATCTTCTGATAGGTCACAACTGTCTCTGTTGAAATCATCGCCTGTTTACCTCATGACCATATTCACTTTTTCAACACCGTGTAACCTGTGCAGTTGTTAAATACCAGAAACTAGTCTCAAACAGAGGTTATTTCAGGCCTGTCATCTTACATGAATTGTCTTTCACATTTTGTATTCTTGATGGGACTTAATGAGACAGAATGGGTGGCTTAAATATTCTATCTTGTGACAGGCCTTTATTTATAGGTGGAAATCAGCGTGAGTTGGCACGTCAGAAGAACCAGAAGAAACAGCAGGAGCAGCAGAAGCGAAAGGGGTCAAATGACAAAGATTCGAACAAGGGACTCACATTGGAGCAGCGCAAACAGAGGCATGTATCCGGAAGAAGTACAGTCTACTGTGTTACAAAGCAAAACTGAAAGACACGTGCTTGCTGATAAGGAAGTTGGGTATTTAGAAACTTGGGTGTTTCTGTTCACCACTGTTAGGTCCAGAATGGCCCTTTCCATTCTAAAGTGGAGTCTTTTCCTCTGGAGTAAACGCTCTTGACTTGCAGGCCCCTTGCTGTAAGCAAAAAAAGCTTGGTGAAGAACATGAAATCATGAAGTGGGAAACATTTTACTGAACAGCACTTGGAGGACTCCCAACTTGACAACCAGGGTTTTATCTCCAGTAGGGTTAAAGGAATTTTCTTCTAGTCCCTGCATTTGGACGCTTTGGGGCTTGCCCAACCTACTATCCAATGAATACCAGTGGTCCTTTTCTCGGGGTTAAAGTTCAACTGGGGCCCCATTTAGTGCTGATGTCAAGAATGAGCAGGAGCTATAAAAAAAACCCACCCAAGTGCTGCCATGGCATGTAGCAGGACAGCTTCAATTTCGAAAAGCCTTTTTGCCCTCCCAGTGTTCTTTTGTGTTATGTCTCTTACCGCCAAATAATACAAAGACTGCACCATAAGAATCGAACACAAATCAAAACGCTTTGCTTGAGGTGAGAGGCAGAAAGTGTTGATGTAAAATGTGTGGTATTGCATCTTTTAACGTAGACATGAATTAAATGCAGAAAGGTCAGCCTGTGAGCATCGGATGTTATGGATAATGGTGCTATAGCACTACCTTCCTCATCGTCTCAGATTGATTCCTTGATGCAAAAAGTTAAGGTTGTGATCTCAGTCATATTTTCTGCAAATAGTCCCAATGGATTGTCTTGGGAAGCTTTGTGTATTGTTACTGAATTGGATTATCTTTTAGCCAACTTTTTCTGTCCACTTCATTGTATTTTTTCAATACTAAATATTTTTTTGTTGTCTCATCCTTGAATGTCTTTTCCCAGTGCCCTCTGAGAGTTACCCCTTCAGAATTTTGTTTCTTTTGTGTACTATATGTCCAGCCCATCACAGTCATCATTACCGGACAGTTCATGTGTGCCAAACTGTAAGTGAATTGTGTGTTCATAGTTGTGAAAATTAATGATCTAATGGCCGTCAGTGGCAACCCTGAGGTATTATCCTTCTGTTGCAGAGATGCTGACCTGATGCGTCAGAAACAGATGAAAGCACAGAACAAGGACCAAGTTCCTGCCAGCTAAACTGTTTCGACTTCAGATTTCAGTTTCTGTGTCACATACGCTGGCAGGGTGCAATGGACTCTGATTCACTAATCTTGTGGAACGCAATACAAACTTGGTCACTATTGCTGAAATTCAGCCGTACTCTATGCCATGCCAGGGAAGTGACACCCCCACCTACCACACACATACCTTTTCCATTTTAAGGCCAGAACTGGAGTCATTGCAGTGAATAAAACTGCAAGTGAATTTTGTTGGTGGATTGTTTAAATTTGTTCAATTTTTAAATTAATAATAAAACCCTGCCTTAACTAGAACTGATGCTTTCATTTTGCTCACTTAATTTATCTGCTTTTTATATATTTTTGTAATCTGTCCTGATGTATTGATGTGTGGAATAAATTCTCTTGTTCAAGCCTCTTGGTGTTTTGTACCCTTTGATTCAGTGGTACCATCTTCATTTCTTTTTCTTTTTTTCATGAAGGAGTATGTCAGAAGTGAGAAAGGTAGTGTGAATTTGTGTTGTGTGATACAGCCAGTCAAGAGAATTTTGTTTTTATGTCCACTTTAATATACTCTTTGCGACCAGCCATTTACTGGGTCAGAAATGAGTGGCTGTAAATAAAAATCTCTATGAATTTTTGGTGAGTGTTTGAACGTCTTTGAACTTGTTCCCCTTTTACAATGTGCACAATGTTGTAAGTTTGGTTATGAAGTGCCTTACTCTGTTGTCAATCATCTGCTGACATCAAGTTCAGAGATGATCTTCTGTTGGCTGTCATTTTGATGATGATGCATGTACATATTGCTGCATATTGTATTCCCTTTTGCTGTGGCAGATATGATCTTTTGCACTATACATTTATTTGTGTTGGTATGGTGTTAAGTTACACGTTGGCGAAGGTTATTGTGTTGTATAACTTAAGCTTTCATTGATGAGCCATGTAATGTGTTGCAGCTGTTCCATTTCAGGAAACATTGCACTTGTCATTTACAGGGCATGTGGGGTGGGAGCAAGGTAGGGTATGAGTGATGTGATTTGGCAAGCAGTGGAGTCGGTTGCTGTCCGTTGTATTATCCTTTTGTTTTCTGTTTCTTAAATGATTTAATATATCTGGGACAGGAGAAAGGGAATCTATGTCCAAAAGTCCTTCATACATTGCCTGGAACGCGTGTGTCTGCTAAATAATTTGTCCTTGTATTGTTTGTCACTGTTATCACAAGTTCTAATTGTTGGCATCAGTACCTGACCATAATTAGCACAAGCCTATTGCAAAATGTCAAGGAATGATGCAATCAAAAGTCACTCTCATGTTCAATAAAAGGATACCGTTCTAGGATAACAAAAAATGTTGTCACTAAGTGCAGCTTATGTTGCCTTCACAGTTAAGTCGCAATTGAAACTCCTAACATTTTTTTCAGTCCATTTGGAAAATTACTGTTTGAATGGTCACAGTTTCCTTACAAGTGTAAGTCCATAAGAGTATAAGCATTTTTAAACACGGTTTTGGAGATATTACAGGCCTTGTTTTATGTGAGTGTGAAACTTGGCCTTTCTCTCTAAGAGAGAATGTTTGGACCCAAGAGGGATTAAATAACAGTAGACTAGAAAGTTGCATAATGAAGAGCTTCATAATTTATACTGTTCACCTAATTCACCTTGTAGGGAGAGTCACCACCACTGCATTTGTGCTCTCCTCTTTTTGGAGCTGCACTTTGAATCCATGTAGTGACACTTGAGCCATGATTTCGCTAATGTATTTGCCTTCATAGCTTAGTGCTAAGTACAGGGATTGTTTTGGCTTACTTGGCCTTTGAATTACCACTATAATAAAAGAAGCCTCAAGTTTTTGGACTGTAATATTTTCTTACTGTTGAGATGAATCCTAGGAGGTTGAGATTACCCTCATGTTCTATTACCAGAGAATTAATATCATACCAGAATCAAAACTAGACATTTTATTTTTATAAAGTAAGATAAAATTACATACGTAACATTTACAGCTAGGTACAAGAAAGAACTTGATTGTAAGGTTATGAAATGTTTAATTTTCAATGGCCATATTGCATCCTAATTAAATTTATTCTCTTGATGGAAGCTAAGAAATTTAGAAACTTGGCTGTAACAGTAGAGAAAAGTATTTTTAGGGGCAGTTTGAGGGATGTAAAAACAAAATTTGGACAGGGGAAAAGTAATATACATGTTTGAGAATTCCTACAAAATTCCCTATGGTTAGCCAAGCACATCACCTTTGCATAGTTGCATATAATACTCTTTTTTTCATTGCCAACAAAATGTAATAATTTCCCTGCTGGTGAGTATATGTAATGAATCAGGAGGCCATGAAAAATAAGTCATAATGGCTGCTGGAAATATTGGTGCTGGTGTTTTATTGTGGTGTGATATATCATTTTATAAGTGTTAGTTTTGCTGCTGCTTTTTCCAGTTATGTTTAAAGGTATGTAACTTTGGCAGATATTTATATAGACATAATTGTGCCATATTTAACATGGTTCAGAGTTTAAAATACAATCACTAATAATATCATTACTTTGACAAGAGTATATTTATAAATTGAAGTTCACTCTTTCATAAATCTCTGTTTATATTGAAGCCTTCTGTAATAGTATTCCATCCTTTGTGTAATCACAGAGTAGAAGCAAGAAGGATCTTTGTATAATATTCAGTGATTACTTGACTTCATGTAATGCTATGGCTTTAAGAATGTTGTACCTTCATTCATTTGCATATGTTAATGGTGTTATTTGCAAGTCAGGAAGTTAAACTGACATGTGATTAGACTATAATTAATTTTTTTTACATAGATTTAGCACATCAAGAAATAACTGTAAGTTTGTCCCTGACTCTTAACTATGCACCACACCATATGTGGAGGACTGGAGGTACAGCTCCATGCATATCTTTAGATTTGAATTGAGTGGCCAACACTGTTTTTTCATATTCAGGGGCCAAGTCTCAGCCCTGACAGGATTTTTGTGGTTTTCCCATTTGCTAAAAAATTCTGGGTTAATGTTTGAGAAAATCCTCAGGAAAATATATGGATGAAGTAGTAAGAAAATGTCCCAATACAAAGACTTTTATTGCACCTTTCCCTTGTACAGTGGTCTCCTGCATGCAACATTCTGTGATACAAACACATTGGCTGGAAGACTCAATAAAACTACGTAATAACATGGTAGCGTAAGCCATCACTATATCTACAGCCATACATACACAGACATGATCAATCACAGATCTTACTCTTATTATAGTCAACTACTTCCACATTTAATATCAGTATTTATAAATTTTGAAATTGAAATAAATGCGTTAGTAAGCGTTCACATGAGTTAGGCTCTTGTTGCCACATGCCCACAGATCAACGTGTTCAGATCTAAGTCAAGTTAGTGGAACAGCTTCAGTGAGGACTGTGACTTGCAATACCTGCAGACAGTAGCAATGGGTTATCATAGTGGTTTGTTTCACTGTCCCAGTAGTAAGACTGTATGCTCGGTTACAGAACAGAATCTTTCCATCTCCGTTTCAGTTGAAGTTTTATAATTCTGTCGGGGTCCCACAAGAACGCATTTTCCGGCGAAACTATAAAGTTTGTTACCGATATATGTAATTCTGACATTGCTTTGTAATTTATTTTGTAGTTCACATTGATGTAACCTGCTGTCAGTCTGACAAATCTCACTTCAGATGATTCCTTCTTATTTTCTTAAAGATGTTCTATGAAGTGCTTATAAAATGAAATAATTGTGTTCAGACTAACGATGGATTATGGTATCAAAATTTTTAATGTAACTGTTCTTAAATTTAAAACTTTTCTAATTTATAAAACATATAGCAGAGGGTATTTATTAAAATATTTGAAAAAATCCATGTAAATGGAAAAGTTTGCTTTTGCTGTATGTTTGGTTCCATGTTCAACGGGGAGGGATTTTTTTCGTTGCTGCCAAGTGCTAATCATGCTGATCATGAAACTGACCTCCATATAATGCCAATTAATTTTTCAACAAATCTGAGCAAAGACTTTTATATGAGTATTACTGAATAATGTAAGACATTCCTACAATAAAATATTTTCCCAGGTGATGTCTGCCACATAAAAATATGTTACATACAAAAGTGCACTGTATGAAGTTTCATGAAAACATTTCATTGTTTTGAATATGGTTCTCATTCATGCATTTTATTGTGGGATGAGTGGTCCAATCTGTTGATCTTGGATGCCTTGATTATTAGTGAGCTCCTTAAACATTCACATTGGAGTTAAAGTTCTACTTGTAGACCCATAGTACAGGAATTCAAACCTAACCTATTCCCATACAGTAAAGATATAAGTGCTTGTTATATTCGTGGTCAGCTGGGATTGATCTGATTTTAGTGAGACCATGGACAACAAATGAGTGGGAGTTGTTTCTGTTACAGGTCTTAATGGTGGAATCCATTTATTATGAATTCTAGATGGGATTTTTATCTAGTATAAGTTTTTAAAAGACAAAGGGAGGGTTTTGTGAATACTGCCTGAATTGAAAGGTTGGTTATTTGTCAGATTACAGGATTCTAAAATAAATTCATTTCATGAAAACTTGATAACCACTTTGTGGAACTCTGATATCTTGAGAAATTTACTTAAGAATTTGTTATAATATTACAATAATCTAAAGGTTACGGACATAATTGTTGTTAGTAACAGTGACCCAATAGAGTAAAATATATTTTTTGTTAAAATTAAAGATTATATGTATATATAAAGAAATTTTTTTAATGGTCTGAGCATTATACAATCTTAGGATTTGTTTGGAAATACCTTTGGTGAAAAATGTTGCGAAATACACATGTTTGAGGAACTCCCTGACAGCAGAATGGCACAGAAATTTTTAGAGGTGTGAGCAGAAGCAGTTGCATTCACAACAGCGTGATTTTTGGGTGAGTGGAGAGCACATGGCTAGTGTTGCCAGGACAGAAAACAAACCACGTGAAACATAATTTGCTACTGAAATACAGGCTTGGCAATATACACAAACAAACGTCCTCATTTCCAGAAACTTGTGGTATTCACACAATTCCCAAAGATGCTCATAATTACACCGAGCAGTGTAATGGGGGGGTGGGGTGGCAGTTTGCCTTTGTAACAAGATAACATGATACAACACGGAGTTCAAATAAATTACATGACAGGTTGCATACTTAGTGCAAACACAAATGTACATACAGTGTTACCAACAACACAGAAAACATTCTTGATTAAGGTTGCCTGCCAGGGAAAAATGCATAGTTCTAATACCAAGCCAAATAGTCTTTTGTGCTTCACTGATCTTACGAGAGCACTCCCAGGATGATCCACAGTAATCAAGCTGGTTCCAGTCCGGCCTGAGGACCAGCTAACCTAACTGAAGTTTCCTTCAACCTGTTGGTAACTTAACCCTTTCCATGCAATGCATAAGCTGTCTCACTTAGAAGTGCTGGCCCGTCTGGTCTTGACTTAATGTTTTGTGGAGATCAGTGAAAGAAGTTTGTCTCATTCATCAACATTTAAAGCTATTTGTGGCTTTTCAATGATAGAAATTATATAGTACTATGGAAAGATATTAATGGACGGTTTCTATAAGTAAAATATAGCATGGAAAGGGTTATAACAGGCCACAACTGCCTCCTCCCTATACATATTTCCCAGTTTATTGTTCGCAGTAATCTTACTACATCTCATTTTATGTTACATGATTTTCACAGTTGACACAGTGTCATAAAATAACCAAATAAACACCTGATGTTCCACCGAGATAATGATTTTATTTAATGATGAGATGACAGGCTGAAAGTATGAAGTGGCAGACTTCAGTGTCAGCACCTTGTCCACAAGCCTGGTAGCAAAAGTGAAACACTGAGTACTGCATTAAACTGTGCTGTTATACTCACAGTAAGAAACTTCACTGTCTGAATGGATTTTGCAGTATTATCAGTTGAAATTCTATTGGCCCATTCTGGAAGTGCTCATCATTTTCTTGTGGCCATTACAAGCTTTCTCCTTAGCATTTCAAAAAACTTATAAAAATATAAGAAGGAATAAAGTTTATTGCCATCAAACATATAACAGAAGAACATTTCTGAACACTAGTAGTGAGTATTTTATGTCATTTTCATTGTATTTGTTAGGGAATGCTGCGATAGTACCTTTTAATAGACACCTGCATCTAGATGTCACCATTTTTGTTCATGCTTATGTTTCATTTGATGTTATACACACCTATAGTTAATACAGCATTGTTTAATAATCTAACAATCAAATGCTAGACATGTCTGGCTTGTTTTTCATCTCTGTCCAGAATAGCTCTGGAGCTCACATTATGTTGTGAAACTCATACACACAAAGCATGGCACATGAAAAAAATTTGGTTTGTGGTTACATTCAGATATTATTTATACAGCACTTCATTAATATTTACATTCATAAGAGAAAGGGCTTAAAAATTTACGTTTTGTTCGCTTCTGATATATCTGTAATGGATGTTCAGTCAGTGCAAATGTTTGACAGCTGTGAAACTACAAACTGTTAACTTTCAAGTAGCTCCAGTACTAGGAACAGAAGCAAAATTTGTCTCTGGATGAAGATTTCAGAAGAAGCAAGTGGCAGAAGCTGATGTTTGTAATGGTTGACTGTCTCCTGGTATCAGAAATCCATCATGAAGGGAAAAGTAACATGGCTGTACAAAAAAATAAATTCTGAACATTGCGCAGGATTATGTTTTGGGTGACCATAATATTCTTCCCACAAAAAACATAGTGGGAAAATCTTACGTTAACTATTTGTGTTGCCTGTCACGAAAGGACAGAAATGTCAACAGTATGGGACATACCTGATAAGGATAAAATTTGTGGAAAACAAAATGGGAACTACTGCGCGCTTCTCGACTATAAAGGGTTCAATAGAAATTGATAGTCAACATTGTGAAACATAAACAAGAAGAAACAGCTGTGTGCCATGAAGCAAAACTTTCTGTGTTACAACATACATTTACTGCAGTGTTCGAAAACTGAAGAAGTAACATTGCGATGTTACGATATCTTCCCAGGGCAGGCAAGTGTATCATGTTCGTATACATATGTAAGGCAGTGCCAGAACAAATGAACTATGGGGAGAAAGGACAGCTGCCAACAATGCAAGCTGGCTACTAGCAGAAAAATACAACACTGCGTGGACTGTTGGTGATTTAAGCAAATTGTTTTAAAGACCACATACAGTTATCACTTGAAAGTAGGGCAGAAAGTAGACGGCACCGATTTTCTAGGAGCATCATCGAGGTGTAATGATGCACAATCTTACGGGTATGTGATGTGACAGTCATGCTACAGCCCTGGACACATTGTGGGAGGAGGTTTACAGGATCAAACTTCCCTGAAACCCTAATGTCTGAGATAATGTAAACAAAAAATATATTCCTGACCAAATTTGGTGAGTTGTGTTTAAACTATGACCAAGATCGTAACCCGCTCCAGTCGTTTTTCCATAAAAGTTGTACTCGGGAATGGAATGATGTTGCAGCACTAGTATCAACTTGCATTGTGGTAATAATACTACAATGTTCTGGAGGCACACACATCAACTCCTAGCTAATCTGTACTTTAATAGAAAAATTCTATATCATCAATATTTATTAATATCATTATTATTATTATTATAACTATAAACTATTTATTACTATCAGAAAATCAGAGTAAGACAGGAGAGCCAACATGATGGACAGTGACACAACCCTGATAACACAGTGCTGTGAGACAGGAGTACCACAATGCCCATAACAGACCGTACTCCTGCAATGCAGGCAACATATTTAACCTTTCCCATTACAAAATGCATCTATATAGACTGATCTTTTTTTATCAAGAGGATCAGCAAGAATAATCCAAATGGATTCATGTCACTGCAAGACATTTTCACTTGTTTCTGAATTTTCCCCTATGCTTTAATTGTGTGGGCAATCTTTAGAAAAATGCATACAAAAAAACAACAACCAAGGCTCATTTCTTATCCTTCAGTCACAGCAACAAAAGACTTGCATTGCATTACTCAACTGGAAAATTCAGTCCTTTGGATTCAAGGCATACATAGCCAAGATGAGCACATGTGAGTGTGTGCTGAGTGGCGAGACTGTACACAGTGTGTCTGATACTGCAGTCCATCACAGGAGTTTTTATAACTCTTAGATATATCTGAACCAAAGGCTCTCCCAACACCAATCTATCTGCACAGGGAAGCAAAATACTACACAGAGCACACTATGAAAGAAGCGTCCGAATGTCATTGACGTCATTTGCAGTTGCTGAGTGAAACTGGTTTTTGGATCTGAACACCACTCACCATGGGAAACGCTCTAAGTGATGTGCAAAATATTGCACATTGTGTGCCTTGTCTGTCATCTACAATATGAACGTAGATTTCCTCTATGTTTCAAGAACTGTATTTCAGGGTGCAACAGTTGGAAACACTGTTGATACTAGAAACCTGCTTATGAAACAGGAAGTGAGAAACTGTGAGTCGAATATGTGTCGATTCTCTGTCATGTGGAACCTGTCTCACCTCAAACTGCAGATGAACCTTTTTACAAATTGTAATGTGCAGGCTGTTAACTCTTTAAGAATTCCTCATTGACACCAGCACCAAATTGTAAGCTCCAGAGTCTGTATCACTGTCCGAGTCACTGTGGCACGAGGTTGTACGGACACTCGCCATGCCACCAACGCCATCAGGAGTGGACGTCATCATGCAAACTATAAATAAAAATAAATAAGAAAATAAATTTTGGAAACAAATTTTGTGGGGAAGAACAAAACCAAATTTCAGTTCTGTGTCCGTACAACCCGGGTTTCTCCCGTGCACTACAGGTTGAGGGAGCAGATGCTGCAGGAGGTCTGAGGGGCACACTGGTGCGGGTGATGGTGTTGTTCGGGCGGCTGCTGACCTGCTCCCTTGCTGCGCTGCTCCAGCAGGAGGCGATGGTGCAGCATCTCGCCCACATACACGTTGTTCAGAGCGAGCCACGGGGCGGGGGGCCACACAGGGGAGGGAGACGCCAGCAGGTTGTCCCCCCCTGCAGATGAGGTGGAAGGAGAGGGGTTCACCACCTGCTGTGACTGTGGTGGTGGTGGTGGTTGTTGTTGTTGCTGGAGCTGTGACAAGCGGCCAGCAGCCCCTCTCCGCCCCCCTGGGCCCCCTGCAGCCCCGCCCTCCACTCACATCACCTGCAACACGCCAGGCAAAGATGTCAACGCCATTCTCTGTAGAATGTGTAGCTTGTCAACACAGTGATAGCTCATTAACATGTCTGAAAATATTATAACTAATGACAGAATTGAAATGTTTAACACTGCTAATACCAGAGCTGCCACTGGACACAATCCTGAGCGAGTTCCATTCACCTCAGATCTTCACAACATATTTCTCTGCGATTCTTCTTAATGTTATCCTCCTACCTCCATCTTCTGCACCAATATGTTGAATGTATTTCTTGTCTCCTCTTCAGACTTTCATTTCCAGCCCACTGTAGTCTCCTAGATTTCACTATCCTCACCTGTATAAGTCAGAGTTCTTTCCAGTGTAATTTTTTAAATTCCTTACTTAATTTTTGTTTTCGAACACTTGTAATTTTAATTCTTCCCTAAATGTAAGATACCACTTTTCACAGCCATATAAAATAAATGTCAAAATTAGTAATTAGTACGTGTGTCCTGATCCTTGTTGTTTTGAATAGCAAATAGGGCGATACAAGCGTGTGAAATGAAATGTAAGAACTATGTGGGTGTGTGTTTAGTTCTATTTGTAGCAACTTATAGATCAGGTTTTGTTTAATTTAATTCTAAAGGGTTGTGATGATGGTAGTTAACACTTAAAATTATTCATTGTCAAGATTTTTATCCATCGTTTAGTCTGTTCTTCATGGAATTTATATTTAGAAATGTTACATTAGGCATTACTGCCTTTAGTAAACATGTTATTTTAATATTCCATAAAGACTTGAGCTGCGTGGCTTGTCTGGCTGTATCCACCGCTTTAGTTTATAGCGTAGTTGCCATCATCAACTTAATTGTCGTCGGTCAGTCTAAAGAGTAATGTGGGAGAACAGGTACTGGCTACTGTTTTGACTCAGAACCTAGCCAGTGAGATGTCATGGAGGAATATTATCTGCTGTAAAGATGTTGGTTCCATGTTTTGATCAGTCCTTTCCTATTTTCTCTGCCGATGTTTCATGAATGGTAAATACTTCACAGGTGAGGCACGTCTTGAGGGAAGGATTGGGGCATTAGTTACGCACTGCTGGTCCTCCAGGATAATAAGCTTCATTGGTGAGTCACGTGGCAATGGTACCCATGCAAAACAGCTGTACTGTATGTTGGCTAACCTGCAGTATCTGGCTGGCTTCGAACGCTGTTCCTGGCAGCAAGATAACGGGGCTAGACACATGGCCTGACTCCACACAGACCATGTTGGGAAACTCGTCATCACCGAAGTCTGAAATCTCCTTTGCTTTCTCCACCCACGGGTTCCATACAACTGGAAAGAGACGCGTGTTACTGAAAGCTTATTAAGCGCCGTGATCCATCACCACAAACAGCGCAATACAATGATAACCTGTACATGTGCATGATGTTCTTCAGTTGGCAGTGAAGATGTCAATGTTTGATTTTCTGGGTAATAAGGCTACGTGGACTTGTATGTAGATACCAGCACTTAAGAGGAATATGTAACTTGAAGCTTTTGTGGTGACAAAATCTTCTCAGATGATGGGTTGTGTCAGTTGCTGTGAACTGACAGCTGTTCGCCTGAGAAGATGTTGCAGGAACACTGGTCTCTACCTACAAGTCCACGTAGGGTTTCTGCCCAGAAGACCAACATCGACATGCATGGACTGACAGAATAATCAACTAGCTTCACTTCTGTTGCTTTATCTGATGTAGTGGCTGGCTAGAGTCTAGTTGATTCAGGTGTGACAGACTTTTCTCTTCATCCAGATAAACTCTGGGGATCAATCAGCCTCCTTTCCAGTGAGTACTAGAGGCTCATTCCACAGGGGTAACACAATCAGAGTGTAAAACTTGGTTAGATCTAATACTGAGGCTTCAAATGAATATACCTCTACTTTCATGCTGTCCATATTTACATGGACACATAACCCTTCACCTTTACGAGTAGAATTAAAACAGAACATTTAATCCTCCAAAACTTAAAAAACGCGTGACTCTTTTTAATGTTTGTTTTTTAAATGACACTCTGAGTAAGCATCATCATCATCATCATCAGTGCTTCTCAAATGCAAGTGCGCTGGTTCACTAATACTGACCTGTGTCTGGGAAGTTATACTTCTGTATCCTCATCTTCCGGCCTGACACAACATTCGTGATGATGTGCTCTTGGGGAGTGTTCTGATAAATGCGATCAGTCCACTCAGAGATGGTCACCACATCGCGACCCTCTTGGAAAATTGCACCCTCTCTTGACTGTGACATACACATTATTAATAATACATTAACACTTATTCTTAATGATCTTGGTTTTCCTCAGGCACTCAACATAAATTATGCGGTACACTGAAATAGGCATCCTTGTAAGATATTTCCACATAATCATTTTCTAATTCTGTTGATGCTAAATAACTTCAGCGGGGAAATGCAATGTCATTAAATAACTTACAAATAATCTTATGTCTGTTTGCTTCATGATATAACAGTGATTCAACTACTGAGTTTATGTACAGATAAATGGGAGAAAAATAGTGAATTATAAATTGGTAGTGATGTGAAAATGCCTACTTTAAGTTACTATCACAGAATTTGCTAAGCACTACTGTGCGGCGTTGTGTATGTCACCTTATCGATGAATGTGCAGCCGTGCAGGCCGGTGATCTGGCAACGCCGCACATCAGGCACCTTGAAGTATGTGTGTAACAACAAGTTGAAGCTGAATGTAAGCTCCTTACTAGGGTTGTACACCCCTATGTTGAAGTGCAACTCCTTCTCTCTCAAGATCAGCCTGTACGTGAGGCGGAACCTGCAACAACAGCTGGAATAAGTCACGTTACTGGCAGAAGTATTCTCACACGTCAATCCGCAATTAACGTCCGATACAGGACAGAATCTGCAGCTTCTGCTGCATGCGTGAATCTGCGAGAGCGTACGCTACACTTGTAAAGATTTGCATTAACAACTGCAGTACATCTACCAATTTGCGTGAATGTCTGAAACAGGAATAGACAGAATCAAGAATGATACGTGACTAATCCTTTAAAGCCCTTTGGGAACTTTGCGACTCTCAGAGTATACCAATGGATCATTGTCATGCATATGGGCTGTGTTTTCTTTGAGGTATGGACTGAATGTTTAAATACTATTAAGATGATATTCAGCTTCAAAGGATTAAGGATAAAAGACATGCATATTATACTTACGGATAGTTCCACATGGAGCGTGTGAACTCACTGTCCATGATGGAGAAGATGGCTTCCACATCGCCACTAGGCAGGCGCTCAGGGGCCTTTTCCAAGTTCCATCGTATGATGCGGGCAAAACCATGCTGTGGTCCAAAGCTCCACTGCCCAAACTGGGCTGTAACACAAATACATGTGAACAGGATTTGAGGTTCTCATGGAAGTGAATATGACGATGGCTGTCTTCTGACGTTTCAGACGCACTTGCTAATTCCATCATCAGGGCGATGAGGCCCCGCTGACTGAGACAGCAAATACCTCTGAAACATTGGCAAACTGACAAAACTACGTGCCATGTGCCATGAAGCAAAACTTTCTGTGTTACAACATACATTTACTGCAGTGTTCGAAAACTGAAGAAGTAACATTGCGATGTTACGATATCTTCCCAGGGCAGGCAAGTGTATCATGTTCGTATACATATGTAAGGCAGTGCCAGAACAAATGAACTATGGGGAGAAAGGACAGCTGCCAACAATGCAAGCTGGCTACTAGCAGAAAAATACAACACTGCGTGGACTGTTGGTGATTTAAGCAAATTGTTTTAAAGACCACATACAGTTATCACTTGAAAGTAGGGCAGAAAGTAGACGGCACCGATTTTCTAGGAGCATCATCGAGGTGTAATGATGCACAATCTTACGGGTATGTGATGTGACAGTCATGCTACAGCCCTGGACACATTGTGGGAGGAGGTTTACAGGATCAAACTTCCCTGAAACCCTAATGTCTGAGATAATGTAAACAAAAAATATATTCCTGACCAAATTTGGTGAGTTGTGTTTAAACTATGACCAAGATCGTAACCCGCTCCAGTCGTTTTTCCATAAAAGTTGTACTCGGGAATGGAATGATGTTGCAGCACTAGTATCAACTTGCATTGTGGTAATAATACTACAATGTTCTGGAGGCACACACATCAACTCCTAGCTAATCTGTACTTTAATAGAAAAATTCTATATCATCAATATTTATTAATATCATTATTATTATTATTATAACTATAAACTATTTATTACTATCAGAAAATCAGAGTAAGACAGGAGAGCCAACATGATGGACAGTGACACAACCCTGATAACACAGTGCTGTGAGACAGGAGTACCACAATGCCCATAACAGACCGTACTCCTGCAATGCAGGCAACATATTTAACCTTTCCCATTACAAAATGCATCTATATAGACTGATCTTTTTTTATCAAGAGGATCAGCAAGAATAATCCAAATGGATTCATGTCACTGCAAGACATTTTCACTTGTTTCTGAATTTTCCCCTATGCTTTAATTGTGTGGGCAATCTTTAGAAAAATGCATACAAAAAAACAACAACCAAGGCTCATTTCTTATCCTTCAGTCACAGCAACAAAAGACTTGCATTGCATTACTCAACTGGAAAATTCAGTCCTTTGGATTCAAGGCATACATAGCCAAGATGAGCACATGTGAGTGTGTGCTGAGTGGCGAGACTGTACACAGTGTGTCTGATACTGCAGTCCATCACAGGAGTTTTTATAACTCTTAGATATATCTGAACCAAAGGCTCTCCCAACACCAATCTATCTGCACAGGGAAGCAAAATACTACACAGAGCACACTATGAAAGAAGCGTCCGAATGTCATTGACGTCATTTGCAGTTGCTGAGTGAAACTGGTTTTTGGATCTGAACACCACTCACCATGGGAAACGCTCTAAGTGATGTGCAAAATATTGCACATTGTGTGCCTTGTCTGTCATCTACAATATGAACGTAGATTTCCTCTATGTTTCAAGAACTGTATTTCAGGGTGCAACAGTTGGAAACACTGTTGATACTAGAAACCTGCTTATGAAACAGGAAGTGAGAAACTGTGAGTCGAATATGTGTCGATTCTCTGTCATGTGGAACCTGTCTCACCTCAAACTGCAGATGAACCTTTTTACAAATTGTAATGTGCAGGCTGTTAACTCTTTAAGAATTCCTCATTGACACCAGCACCAAATTGTAAGCTCCAGAGTCTGTATCACTGTCCGAGTCACTGTGGCACGAGGTTGTACGGACACTCGCCATGCCACCAACGCCATCAGGAGTGGACGTCATCATGCAAACTATAAATAAAAATAAATAAGAAAATAAATTTTGGAAACAAATTTTGTGGGGAAGAACAAAACCAAATTTCAGTTCTGTGTCCGTACAACCCGGGTTTCTCCCGTGCACTACAGGTTGAGGGAGCAGATGCTGCAGGAGGTCTGAGGGGCACACTGGTGCGGGTGATGGTGTTGTTCGGGCGGCTGCTGACCTGCTCCCTTGCTGCGCTGCTCCAGCAGGAGGCGATGGTGCAGCATCTCGCCCACATACACGTTGTTCAGAGCGAGCCACGGGGCGGGGGGCCACACAGGGGAGGGAGACGCCAGCAGGTTGTCCCCCCCTGCAGATGAGGTGGAAGGAGAGGGGTTCACCACCTGCTGTGACTGTGGTGGTGGTGGTGGTTGTTGTTGTTGCTGGAGCTGTGACAAGCGGCCAGCAGCCCCTCTCCGCCCCCCTGGGCCCCCTGCAGCCCCGCCCTCCACTCACATCACCTGCAACACGCCAGGCAAAGATGTCAACGCCATTCTCTGTAGAATGTGTAGCTTGTCAACACAGTGATAGCTCATTAACATGTCTGAAAATATTATAACTAATGACAGAATTGAAATGTTTAACACTGCTAATACCAGAGCTGCCACTGGACACAATCCTGAGCGAGTTCCATTCACCTCAGATCTTCACAACATATTTCTCTGCGATTCTTCTTAATGTTATCCTCCTACCTCCATCTTCTGCACCAATATGTTGAATGTATTTCTTGTCTCCTCTTCAGACTTTCATTTCCAGCCCACTGTAGTCTCCTAGATTTCACTATCCTCACCTGTATAAGTCAGAGTTCTTTCCAGTGTAATTTTTTAAATTCCTTACTTAATTTTTGTTTTCGAACACTTGTAATTTTAATTCTTCCCTAAATGTAAGATACCACTTTTCACAGCCATATAAAATAAATGTCAAAATTAGTAATTAGTACGTGTGTCCTGATCCTTGTTGTTTTGAATAGCAAATAGGGCGATACAAGCGTGTGAAATGAAATGTAAGAACTATGTGGGTGTGTGTTTAGTTCTATTTGTAGCAACTTATAGATCAGGTTTTGTTTAATTTAATTCTAAAGGGTTGTGATGATGGTAGTTAACACTTAAAATTATTCATTGTCAAGATTTTTATCCATCGTTTAGTCTGTTCTTCATGGAATTTATATTTAGAAATGTTACATTAGGCATTACTGCCTTTAGTAAACATGTTATTTTAATATTCCATAAAGACTTGAGCTGCGTGGCTTGTCTGGCTGTATCCACCGCTTTAGTTTATAGCGTAGTTGCCATCATCAACTTAATTGTCGTCGGTCAGTCTAAAGAGTAATGTGGGAGAACAGGTACTGGCTACTGTTTTGACTCAGAACCTAGCCAGTGAGATGTCATGGAGGAATATTATCTGCTGTAAAGATGTTGGTTCCATGTTTTGATCAGTCCTTTCCTATTTTCTCTGCCGATGTTTCATGAATGGTAAATACTTCACAGGTGAGGCACGTCTTGAGGGAAGGATTGGGGCATTAGTTACGCACTGCTGGTCCTCCAGGATAATAAGCTTCATTGGTGAGTCACGTGGCAATGGTACCCATGCAAAACAGCTGTACTGTATGTTGGCTAACCTGCAGTATCTGGCTGGCTTCGAACGCTGTTCCTGGCAGCAAGATAACGGGGCTAGACACATGGCCTGACTCCACACAGACCATGTTGGGAAACTCGTCATCACCGAAGTCTGAAATCTCCTTTGCTTTCTCCACCCACGGGTTCCATACAACTGGAAAGAGACGCGTGTTACTGAAAGCTTATTAAGCGCCGTGATCCATCACCACAAACAGCGCAATACAATGATAACCTGTACATGTGCATGATGTTCTTCAGTTGGCAGTGAAGATGTCAATGTTTGATTTTCTGGGTAATAAGGCTACGTGGACTTGTATGTAGATACCAGCACTTAAGAGGAATATGTAACTTGAAGCTTTTGTGGTGACAAAATCTTCTCAGATGATGGGTTGTGTCAGTTGCTGTGAACTGACAGCTGTTCGCCTGAGAAGATGTTGCAGGAACACTGGTCTCTACCTACAAGTCCACGTAGGGTTTCTGCCCAGAAGACCAACATCGACATGCATGGACTGACAGAATAATCAACTAGCTTCACTTCTGTTGCTTTATCTGATGTAGTGGCTGGCTAGAGTCTAGTTGATTCAGGTGTGACAGACTTTTCTCTTCATCCAGATAAACTCTGGGGATCAATCAGCCTCCTTTCCAGTGAGTACTAGAGGCTCATTCCACAGGGGTAACACAATCAGAGTGTAAAACTTGGTTAGATCTAATACTGAGGCTTCAAATGAATATACCTCTACTTTCATGCTGTCCATATTTACATGGACACATAACCCTTCACCTTTACGAGTAGAATTAAAACAGAACATTTAATCCTCCAAAACTTAAAAAACGCGTGACTCTTTTTAATGTTTGTTTTTTAAATGACACTCTGAGTAAGCATCATCATCATCATCATCAGTGCTTCTCAAATGCAAGTGCGCTGGTTCACTAATACTGACCTGTGTCTGGGAAGTTATACTTCTGTATCCTCATCTTCCGGCCTGACACAACATTCGTGATGATGTGCTCTTGGGGAGTGTTCTGATAAATGCGATCAGTCCACTCAGAGATGGTCACCACATCGCGACCCTCTTGGAAAATTGCACCCTCTCTTGACTGTGACATACACATTATTAATAATACATTAACACTTATTCTTAATGATCTTGGTTTTCCTCAGGCACTCAACATAAATTATGCGGTACACTGAAATAGGCATCCTTGTAAGATATTTCCACATAATCATTTTCTAATTCTGTTGATGCTAAATAACTTCAGCGGGGAAATGCAATGTCATTAAATAACTTACAAATAATCTTATGTCTGTTTGCTTCATGATATAACAGTGATTCAACTACTGAGTTTATGTACAGATAAATGGGAGAAAAATAGTGAATTATAAATTGGTAGTGATGTGAAAATGCCTACTTTAAGTTACTATCACAGAATTTGCTAAGCACTACTGTGCGGCGTTGTGTATGTCACCTTATCGATGAATGTGCAGCCGTGCAGGCCGGTGATCTGGCAACGCCGCACATCAGGCACCTTGAAGTATGTGTGTAACAACAAGTTGAAGCTGAATGTAAGCTCCTTACTAGGGTTGTACACCCCTATGTTGAAGTGCAACTCCTTCTCTCTCAAGATCAGCCTGTACGTGAGGCGGAACCTGCAACAACAGCTGGAATAAGTCACGTTACTGGCAGAAGTATTCTCACACGTCAATCCGCAATTAACGTCCGATACAGGACAGAATCTGCAGCTTCTGCTGCATGCGTGAATCTGCGAGAGCGTACGCTACACTTGTAAAGATTTGCATTAACAACTGCAGTACATCTACCAATTTGCGTGAATGTCTGAAACAGGAATAGACAGAATCAAGAATGATACGTGACTAATCCTTTAAAGCCCTTTGGGAACTTTGCGACTCTCAGAGTATACCAATGGATCATTGTCATGCATATGGGCTGTGTTTTCTTTGAGGTATGGACTGAATGTTTAAATACTATTAAGATGATATTCAGCTTCAAAGGATTAAGGATAAAAGACATGCATATTATACTTACGGATAGTTCCACATGGAGCGTGTGAACTCACTGTCCATGATGGAGAAGATGGCTTCCACATCGCCACTAGGCAGGCGCTCAGGGGCCTTTTCCAAGTTCCATCGTATGATGCGGGCAAAACCATGCTGTGGTCCAAAGCTCCACTGCCCAAACTGGGCTGTAACACAAATACATGTGAACAGGATTTGAGGTTCTCATGGAAGTGAATATGACGATGGCTGTCTTCTGACGTTTCAGACGCACTTGCTAATTCCATCATCAGGGCGATGAGGCCCCGCTGACTGAGACAGCAAATACCTCTGAAACATTGGCAAACTGACAAAACTACGTGCCACTACAACCCATAAGACAGCCATTTTCAATACACAGTTCATGTTACTATGTTATGGCAAAATGTACTGATAAACTTTTGCAACCTAAAGTAGATTATCCTAAACATACTTACGGAAGACAAAGGGAATCCCACCACGAATTGCCTTCTTTCCATCAAATATTGCTTGCTTGCTGCAACAAGAAAGAAATAAAGACGTAATAACTGCTCCCCTCTGCAGCTTCGTAGCAAAGCAGAGATACAACGTGCCTCTAGCTCATTCACACACACACAAGAATATCTTCCTGTGCCTGATGTTCCCACATGAACATCACTGAACACAACTTAAACTTACACTTTGTCATTAAAATCTAAATGATCAGTGTACAGAAATATTTTAATGCGAAACGTGTTCGTACCTTCGTGATCTTAGTAGCTAAGTTAACGTTCTTAGCTGCATTGGTCAGCCATGAACCAGGAATTAGCAGGATGTACATACATGAGTGAATAAAACTAAAACTGAAGGACGCTACTGCCAACTGCTGGGTCAAAGATGAAACCAATAATAAAATACACACCAAGAAGAAAAGGCGAAGGCTTACTGTGCACCAGACCAGAGTGACGAGCAAAGCTAAACAGTGGCACAGAGAGGATACAAGGGATTTACGCAGTTAGTGAACTGTTACAGTGGAATTAAATGAGTCGCCAGAACCAAATTAACCCACAGAGCGCAAGGTTGTTTGGGTGAGAAAACCAGCGATAACTGATAATCTTATGTATCGCCCAATTTGTGTCTTGCAGAAGTGAGAACGGTCCCAGACTCCTGGCTCTGACTGAGATCTGAACTGCGGTTTATTTAATGACATGAAAAATGGTTGTGAAAGATTCAGAGACATCATGGCCAAAAATCTGCTGTTAAGTTGCACAGCGTGTGATGCCGAGTTACGAGAAACAGATTTTGAATTTCATCTGGTGACATTTCAGAGCCCCACAAACAGTCACAAGTGAATCGTGTCTTTTGGTAGGATTTGACGTTTTCACGGCGGCGAATCTGAAGATTGCCGTGGTTCTTCTTGCGCCATGTAGTCCGGTAGACGCATATTTTAGTGATAATGCTGGAAAGTATGTATATTAAACAGCAATTTCCTCATTTCCGTTGTGAATATGAAGATAATTTGTTGAGCGTTAATGAATGAATGAATTGATCCAATGTTGAAGAAATACGCTTATCTTCCCAGGGAAACTGTATTCAAAACCGGATTACACCTTTCCAGTCCTTATTTCGATGCAATTCGTCTTTCGGAGGGTTAATGAGAGAGTTCTTTCAAGGCGGTCGCTGATAACAGACCCCACATTACTCTAAGTCGCTTTACGCAGTGTCGAAATCATGCGAAAATCATCTTTAAGCTGACACCGGACTGAATTGAAATTGTTCACAAAATCGCGTGACGTCTTTTGACTAGGACTGATATAGAAACCAGTAGTACCTGAGCGTTCACACGGAGGAAAGAGAGAGAGAGAGAGAGCTAGCGGGAAGGGTGCGCTGTGGGTCATTAGTCGCGCTCACAAAAACAAGCGAGTGCTGCAGAGCGAAGGCCACTTTTTGCCCGCAGCTGGGCTCGGCGCCCCCCCCCCCCCCCCCCCTCACCCAAAGCTGCAGAGCCCGGCGAGAACAGCGAGACTGTCTGGCCCTGAGAGGAGGCGCTTCGTGACGATCAGATCAAGGATGTGGATTGTTTAACGACGCTTTCAGTAGCTCAGAGCAGCGTCGAATGATAGACTATTGAAGAATGGTAAAGGGCGTGGCAGGAAGTGGTCGTGGCCTGATACCAGATATCGCAGCATTTGCCTGGAGGGACAAAGTAAAACCACGAGAAGCCGGTCTCGGAGGGCCGCCCGAATAGGAAGGAGTACTAACCACTCGACAGCGATGTTCGGTCGAAGGAGAATGAGATGGGCGGGCATGTAGAAAGCATGTTAGAGATAAGGAACACGGACTGTGAACTCTTTCATCTGGTCAAGGCGGGATACAGTCGCGAGATTTTGCGAACGCGGTAATGAACGTTCATACCTCAGGTTCTCACGGAGACGCGTATGAAAATGGCTGTTTTCTGGAATGTTTCAGAGGAGCACACTGCCCCAATCGGCAGGGTAATCTTGACGGAAGTAAACCTCTTCGCCTTCCAGAGAAAGCAGGGAATTTTTTACCTGCTGAGCGACTGTCAGCTCTCCCATGGAGTTAGTTACAAACGTAAGAGGTTAGAATGTCGAATGCAAGGGATTTGGCAGTCGTGGCTTATTTTAATGTCGCTGCACTGATTACTGAAAAGGACGAAATGCCAAAGGACCTGCTCGATATTGCTGTGGCCCGTGCACTGGACGTTCCGGGTTCGATTCTGGGTAGCAGTGACCTTTTTACCTCTCTGAGACAGTAGGGTCTACTTAAAGCAGGCCACGACCACTTCCCTCATAACCTTTCAACGCGGGGGAGACCGAGGCGTGAATGAGAGGAAAGTGCTGAAATCGATAACAAACAGGACGCATCTCAATGGTAGGATTTTGTGTAGACGGTGATGAACCTTCGGGCTGTATGAAGCTGGAACTTTCTTGACCAGCTGAGTAACTATGAGCTTCGTAGCCCGCGTACGCCGTTCGAAAATAAGGCCCTGAATGTGTAACCGCCCCCCCTCGTCGACCGAAGACCAGGTGTTAACAGCCGCTGGACAAACCTGGGCGCTTACACGCATTTCGGAGAAAGCGACGCGACTTCGAAACACAGACACGACAGTCCAGGACGAGGCAGTGCATCTACAGCATTGTTCTTTGTGATATCTTTGCTTTTATCCAATGCATTGTCGTAAACCAGAAGCTGATAACAATGATATCCCTCAAAAACTACTGCTTTGGTCCAGCAATTCTTCTTAATTCTAAATATAATTAATCGGAATGAGTCATATTACCCCCCTCCCCCCCTTGGATCAGTATCTGGCAATTTATGCTTTTTAATAGTAATTTCAGCTTTGAAACAGCTGTGCCTAAGTACTAATGCCTCAGTCTGTCTAACATTGTGAACCCCATACACATTCAACAGCTGACACAAGTAATTAATTCTTCCACCTACTCAAAATATTGTGGGACTGCAAATAATCACCATTCTCTTATTTTTAGGTTGGTAACCTTTCTCAAATTAAAACTTTGATGCTACAGAATTCAGACATTTTTGTTCCTTTGCCTTCAAGATATCCCCTTTCCTTAAAACGCCGATAATTATCACACCATTAATTTAATGCGTGAATAACTCTAGTAGAGACGTCTCGTTTTTGAGGGAGGTGTCCCGTTGTCCCGACGAGGATAAAACGGGACGCTAAATAGTCCCGTTCTTCAACAAGGCTGTTTTGTTTATAACCGATACAGATTTTTCATTATGGCATAAAAGCAGGAGTTGGAGCTCAGATACTTGGATTGAAAATCACCTTCCTGCTTTAATAAACCATTGCATGTATTGTTGTTGGCTTTACTGTGATTTGCGAAATTAAATCTCAGCTGATTCAAAACGCCTAAAACTAGAAGGAATTTAAATGCATCGGAGTTACGTAACAAATAATGTAAACAAAGAGATAATCTCAGCAGGATTAAAATTAGAATGTCAACACAAAAACTACAAAAAAATAAAATAAATAAAATGTAAACTTGTGTTGAACACCGTATGATATTATTATGGTACATGGTATCTTTGTTCAAATTATGATTTCAGTTCCATATTTAGGGTATTATTGGCAACGCTACTCGGATTACTGACATCTTTCATTGTTGGATAGTAAAGCTGCACTTGTAGCTGAAATAATATTTTTATTTTAGTATGTGATGTGCTATTGAGTGGTTCGGTTGTGGTATGTAAGAACAAGAACGTTTAAATATACTATACGTATTGTTAGGTGTCACGTTTTTAAGTTTTTAAAGTATGGTCACCCTGCTCTAGTACATTTGTATACTCTGAGCACAATTTCCACTCATACACATACACCACGTAATGATAGCTCTCCAGTCGGCAAGTATTATGAACGTCCGGTGTAATTTTTTACGACTATACATGCAGTACACAGTATCATGCGTAAAACTCGTGTAAATGGAAGTGAGCAATTCACACAAACTCAGCTACCATACAGCCTCCGGAGCCCAGGCATGTCATAGGACCAGACGCATAAAAAACTAGGCTGGATGCACCCACTGCTACGGACTGTATTATTTTAATTTGTGCAGAATGCTTCATATTTACCTTACAAATAACTGCTCTTGATTATTCACTCGCCAAGAAACGACCGTTGCACCTGCAACGAAGGACGGGATGTTTTTTACACTCAAATCATTCGCCAAGGATTGTCAAAACATAAAAAAATCAGAGCATCGGTCCAACCAAAGTAACAGTATGGAGCCTCATGTGATGGGCATGACTATGTCTCCAGACACATTTGTTTGCTTCCATAATAAATTAGAATTACTATTTTATATGTATGTGTTAATGGAGAATGATTTTGTTGGTTTTCCTGTGGCAACAGAGTTGAGAAACGTAAGCCTTACCGTGCAAGTTGATGGTGCATGTCGTGTTGTTCCCTCTGTCTAGCACAACAACACTCGTAGCCGCTGCCATGTTTGAATCTCAAACCGCCTGTTCGGTTCCCTTTTCTAGCTGGTGGCCGAGTTGCTATGAGAAATATAGCATACAACAAGCGCAAGCAGCCATTGTCTGCTAACCACTCCGCTTTCTAATATTACAATATTATAAAGATGTATCGTTTGAAAATTTAATAAAGGTAATAGTTTAATAACTTTAGAACTTAAACGTTTTCAGTACACACCATCAGTTAGAATAGTCGCTAAAGCTGGCAGGGGTTAGTCTGTTGGTTGCGAACGTAAATTTTTCTTGAAATTCCTGTTCCTTCTGAAGCCATTTTATTCTGAGGTGCTACGAACAAAGTTCTACTTGGATCAGTATAATGACGTATTATCATTAACTTTGAAGAAATATATCGTATCAATAACTTGAATTATGTACTTGATTAAATCCAAATTTATGCCTCATATGCTCATTGTAGGATGTCATTACAGAATATCGTAGAATGAGCTTATTTTTTGGACTGGTGCGCAGTCCGTTTCCTCTATTCCCAACACAAATGTTTTGTTCCTTGTTCATGTCCGTTAAGTAACGAGGAGGCCGATTAGTCGTGCTTTTCCGTCATGTTTCAGGTGTTCAGCTACGTTTGTGTTTTACGGTTTTCATGTTGACGGTCGAGAGAAATTGTTGAACTGTGAAAGACTGCAGAAAAGTGCTCAAATCTAATGTTCCATAAACACAACGATGTTAAAGTTTGGGAGCAAAAGTGACATTAATGTTAGTTACAAATGTACTGTGAGATTATTGGAAGACACGGAAGTTATACAGTGTGACTTTGAGGTATGTAGTACTTAATCACTAGTTTAAAATAGGAATGTGTGGGTATGCTAATTGGTTTACAGTGCGTCGTAGCTTTCGTTCTTATGATTCGTGCTTCGAGTGACAGTTGGTGGTTGCTACATTGTAATGCATTGTATAATGCGTGCCTTGTGGGCCAGAAAACTGCTGAAGATGTGATCTTATGTATTAAGGGTGCGTAGTTTAAATGAAATCCAGTTCCATATCAATTTAAGAGGCTAGCGTTCGCATTGTGCGCATTTATATAACCTCTGAACATATGGTCTGGTCCTTTCTGCTGTAAGAGAGGCAGGTATTGATTCGTTTGGAGCCCATCTCGCGCGCGAGATGCGTAGTGTCATCACACGTGAGGCTAATGGCGACCTTGTCAAACAGTTTGATACTGGACTATATTTTGACATACCATCATAAACTTTAGACATTCATGCTGCGTAAACGAACAGCGAAATCGTCCGTTGTCGTGGAAGGTAAAGGGAAAAAGGTAGAGTGAGTTCAAGGGTCGAATTAGTTCTGTAACCTCCTAAAGGCTCTTCGGTACCCATGCAAAGGTAAATCTATTTCTACATTTATTTTACGAACGATATTGATAGTTAATTTCCTGAAGGTATCCCACCCGGCTTGTTCATTGACGGGTGATCTGCAATTGGTTCTAAATGAGTTAGTGTATGGTGTATTTCGGTGGGTGGGTGTTCTGACAAATTAACTGCTCTGTTAGTGCATTGAAACGTGAATTGTGATAGTTCCACCAAGATACGTTTCCTCCTGAACTAAATTTTTGCCTGAGAATTTTCTTTTCGTGCCAAACATTTCATGTGGGCGGGTCACGTGGGGCTAATACAATTTTTAAGCGCTACGAGCTGGGCAGCAATCGGGAGCCTTTTTGAATGTCTGGGAGACAGGCGACGTAGCCCCTTCCCCGAAATTTGAGACAGGAGTGCACTTATTTCCTATATAAAACGGTCTCATGTGGCGATTCACGGCTGTGCCGTTCGACCTGGATCTAACGTTCTGTTTGACGTCACGGAATATAATGGGACCTAATAGTGGCAGTTAGCATTCGGTCTCTTCACGTCTGCTGTAACGACACGATTGTTCAGGGGAACAACACGCAGTTGGGGTTTGAAACGGCAATCGCGACGTCTAAGTTGCGTGCGTAGACTCCCTGTCCTACCGCAACTGATTAAAAGTTTCAGTGACATTTTGTACGAGAGGTCTACGCTGATAGTTGTCGGCAGATTTATTGTCCGCCCTCGTTGGTTAAGTTTTACATCGAAGCGCTGTTCATCTGTTCTCTAACGAGAGGCTCAACCAATTACGTCCCGTAACAAACTCTGTGGCCCAAGGTCTTCCTCTTCAAGCCGATAGTTTCTTAACTGGGCTAAAAAGAAAATGCTCTGCTGTTGGTGGAGCAAGAAGGTCCATCGCCGTGTTCACAAAAGCGCGACCACAGAGACCCTGTTTCTCCACGATGCCTATCATCTTCCTGTCTGCCTGTGGTCGCTTTCCTTTTGCTTGAATGTCTCATCTATCCCGTGCTGCGTGCCCTGCCCATCTCATTCTCCTTGACGCACTCTCAAAAAATCTGGCCCGGTAAAATCGCTTGCGAGCGACAGTGAATAGAAATTAGAGTCCAACTCCAGGCAGTTCATCTTAGTGGACGCTTTTAGAGGGAAGAAGATGGACGCCTTTTGGGTTGTTGCGCCGTGTAGTGTGGTGGACGTCGACCGACGTTTCGGATGTACTTCAAAGATAACCGGTTAACGCCGTTTAAGGAAATAATCGCAGGTTGTAGTGATAATAATACGTAATAATGACCTCGTTGTTTTCTTAATCCATCCTTCTTACGTCCTTACATTTTGCAACTTTGGGGCCAAAGGACAAAGAGTCTCTTTAAAGTGGCGTGATTGATCGTATCCGCCGTGTGTTTGGTGTTGCGGGTGCCCCTGTACCGACGGAAATGGGATAAATGAATGGACGCGGTCCACTGAGCGCCCTGACATTGGTCGACCTCGCCGGGATGCTCGTGAAGTTGGCAGCGCGTCGCGGGAGATATCTGGTTCAGATCTCGCCCAAGGCGCTGGCTCTACCTCGGCCGTATTTGACCTCGAGTAAACTGATTGGTCTCGTAACTCAGCGCGAGTCAAGGCCAAGGCCTACTTTTTGGGCCGCTTCATCAGTTCCGGGTGGGCGTCGGATCGCGCGCTGAACACCGCGGTTTGCCCTTTGCCGGATGTTCGCAGTCGTCCAGTGCACTTGCTTCGGAGGAAATGTTCGTCAGCCCTGCCCCGAAATGACTGCAGGTTTGCGAAATTAGATGCCGATGTTTTTTTTTTGTGTCATTAATCGATTTTGCGGAAACTGCCCCCCGTGGTTTTGTGCGAGGGGCCATTTGAGGACACAGCGAAATGAAAGTTGTGGTCGTGGCCCACAGAGTGGCGGCGCGTCTGTGTCTGAATCGTGGGCTAACTTTTCGATTAGTTGCACGTAACGGGGAGCCATGTTTGGGCGGCGGGTGGTAATTGAAATTGTTGTTTCACGTTTCAGCCGCCTGACACGACTGGTAAAGCCCGAGAAGAATTTGTTTTATTTTTATTTGAGAAGTGTGGACGTTTCGGGCCTTTGG